AACTCCTCCACTATTTGCTCTTCCAAGTCTGGAGGATGAGCAGGAGCATTGTCCATTACCAGGAGGCACTTGAGTGGCAATTTATTTTCCAGGAGGTATTTCTTCACACTGGGGCCAAACACTTCATTAAACCAGTCTAGGAAAATTTCCCTTGTGACCCATGCCTTATTGTTAGCCTTCCACATCATATACAAATTACTCTTGGCAACACTGTTTTTCTTGAACACTCTGGGATTTTCAGTGATCCACCAGTAAAGGCTTTACTTTGCAATCCCCACTAGCATTACTACAAAACATGAGAGTAAGCCTGTCCTTCATAGGCTTGTGTCCTGGGAGTGCCGTTTACTCCTGCATGTTGTAGGTCCTCTTTGGCATTTTCTGGGTAATCCACACCACAATAACCTTTCTACTTCTTTGAGGATTTGTGATCTCTTTTTTGTCAGCATATCTACCCCTTTTTCAACAACAGCACACTTTGTTTCCTTTCCCTTCGCCACAATCGAAGTGATGGTTGAATGGGGTTTGCCATACATCCTAGCAAGTTCTGTAACACACACTCCGCTCTCATATTTTTCAATGATTTCCTTCTTGAATTCGATCGTATTCCTCGCTTTCTTTACCAAAGGGCTTGCACTACCTTTCCTTGGGCCCATGGTGACTTATTTAGCAGTTGCATGCACAAAAAACAATGGATTATTATGAAATGTATTGCATGAATCCGTGGGGTGATGGTCACGTGCTGGTAAACAATGTCACACTGAGTGTGAATGGTGCGGGAGACTGGCTTTGTGTGTGCGACGGTGACGTGCGGACGTGTACCAGATGGTCGCCGATTCACGAGTCCAGTCACGAACTGCGAGGCTAAATTTTGCTGAAAAAACTTGCTGAAAGTCAGATTTCACGAAAGTCGATGCCGACGAAACTCGGGGGTCCACTGCTATATATATATATATATATATAATATATATATATATATATATATATACAGTGGACCCCCGGATAACGATATTATTTCAATCCAGAAGTCTGTTTGGGTGCCGTTGTAGACCAAATTTGTTCCCATAAGAGATATTGTGAATTAGATTAGTCCGTTTCAGACCCCCAAAAATACACCTACAAAAGCACTTACAAAAATACACTTACATAATTGGTCGAGTTGGGAGCTGATCATTATGCGGAACCACTGTATATGCATATATATATATATATATATATATATATATATATATATATACACACACATATAAATATACAGTGGAACCTCAAAAATCAAACGTATCACATATCGAACGTTTTGAAAATAGGACCATTTTTTCGGACAAACTGTGTCCCTATTATCGAATGCGCCCCTATTTTCGGACCGCCGGGTATGGGACCTGTCTGCCGCCTTCTCTGTCCGCGTCCCCGCACAGGCGCTGTGAGCAGTCTTGCTTTGTTTATGCTTGAGTGAACACTAACCTGCGCTCTCATTCATGCATTTTATGATTATTTCGTTGTGTTTAGTGCTTGTGGGACTGTGAAATAAGCTGCCATGGGCCCAAAGAAACTTGCTAGTGGTACCCCTGTGGTAAAGAAAGTGAGAAACGCCATAGATGTGAAGAAGGAAATAATACAGAAGTATGAGAGTGGTGTGAGACTTGTTGAGCTTGCCAGGATGTATGGGAAAAACAAGTCGACCATCGGTTCTATCCTGGCAAAGAAAGAACAAATCAAGGAAGCTGATGTTGCGAAAGGTGTTAATATAGGGAGTGGATGAGGTTCTTCAAAGATTAAGGAGATTTGTGCCAAGTGGAATGATGTCCAAATGTTTGTGCAGAAGTACCACCCTGAGCAAGCTGAAACAAGCCATCTTTGCAACAAGTTCAGTGACAGAACCATGTCCTATTTTAGGAAAATGTTAAAGAGGCACCAGAAACAGAGGACTGTGGACAGTTATTTTGTGAGACAGGGGTCCAGTGACTCTCAAGCTGGTCCAGGGACTCTCAAGCTGGTCCTAGTGGCATTAAAAGACAGAGAAGGGAAGTAACCCTAGAGAGGGCTTTACCTGAAGTCCTCATGGAGGGGGCTTCTCCTTGCAAACATTAACCCCAACTCCCTCTCTCCTCCTCCCTATCTTCCAGATGCCATCACCAATCTTCAATAAAGGTAAGTAAAAATGTTATTTTATATGTATTACTATACACCTCAATTACTGGGAGCGCTTGAGGTTCCTAAACCTGTATTCCCTGGAATGCAGGCAGGAGAGATACATGATTATATACACCTGGAAAATCCTAGAGGGACTAGTACCGAACTTGCACACGAAAATCACTCGCTACGAAAGCAAAAGACTTGGCAGACGATGCACCATCCCCCCAATGAAAAGCAGGGGTGCCACTAGCACGTTAAGAGACCATACAATAAGTGTCAGGGGCCCGAGACTGTTCAACTGCCTCCCAGCATACATAAGGGGGATTACCAACAGACCCCTGGCAGTCTTCAAGCTGGCACTGGACAAGCACCTAAAGTCGGTTCCTGACCAACCGGGCTGTGGCTCGTACGTTGGTTTGCGTGCAGCCAGCAGCAACAGCCTGGTTGATCAGGCTCTGATCCACCAGGAGGCCTGGTCACAGACCGGGCCGCGGGGGCATTGACCCCCGGAACTCTCTCCAGGTAAACTCCAGGTAATACATAATTAAAAACTATAGTACATGTATTTGTTGTATGAAAAACTGTAATTAATCTCTATAAAATGTATTTTTTGTGAATATTATTGGGTTTCTGGAATGCATTAATTGTATTTCCATTATTTCTTATGGGAAATATTGCTTTGAATTTCAAACTTTTCGAATTTAGAACTAGCTCCTGGAATGGATTAAGTTCGATTTTTGAGGTTCCACTGTGTACATATATATATATATATATATATATATACAGTGGACCCCCGGTTAACGATATTTTTTCACTCCAGAAGTATGTTCAGATGCCAGTACTGACCGAATTTGTTTCCATAAGAAATATTGTGAAGTAGATTAGTCCATTTCAGACCCCCAAACATACACGTACAAACGCACTTACGTAAATACACTTACATAATTGGTCGCATTCGGAGGTGATCGTTATGCGGGGGTCCACTGTATATATATATATATATATATATATATATATATATATATATATATATATATATATATATATATATATATAGTGGACCCTCGACCAGTGATATTAATCCGTTCCTGAGAGCTCATCGTTAATCAAAATTATCGTTAGCCGAGTTAATTTTCCCCATAAGATATAATGGAAATCAAATTAATCCGTGCAAGACACCCAAAAGTATTGAAAACAAAATTTTTTACCACATGAAATATTAATTTTAATACACACAAACTGAAGAGGACATGCACAGTTACATGACACTTACCTTTATTGAAGATCTGGTGATGATTGATGGGATGGGAGGAGGGGAGAGTGTTGATGGTGTTAGTGTTTAGAAGGGGAATCCCCTTCTATTAGGACTTGAGGGGGCAAGTCCTTTTTCGGGGTTACTTCCCTTCTTTTAATGCCACTAGGACCAGCTTGAGAGTCACTGGACCTCTGTCGCACAACATATCTGTCCATAGAGGCCTGTACCTCCTGTTCCTTTATGACATTCCTAAAGTGTTTCACAACATTGTCAGTGTCACAATTAAACACTTGTTCTGGTTTCAATTCTTCACTGTCTATGTACTCCTTGAATTCCTGCACATATTTTTCAGCTGCTTTTTGGTCCAAACTGGCAGCCTCACCATGCCTTATCACACTGTGTATGCCACTACGATTCTTAAATCTCTCAAACCAACCTTTACTGGCCTTAAATTCACTCACATCACCACTAGTTGCTGGCATTTTTCTAATTAAATCCTCATGCAACTTCCTAGCCTTTTCAAATATGATCGCTTGAGAGATGCTATCTCCTGCTATCTGTTTTTCGTTTATCCACACCAATAACAATCTCTCAACATCTTCTATCACTTGCGATCTCAGTTTCGAAAACATAGTTGCACCTTTGGCAAGAACAGCTTCCTTGATTGCCGTTTTCTTGGCCACAATAGTAGCGATGGTTGATTGGGGTTTTGTGTACAACCTGGCCAGCTCGGAGACGCGCACTCCACTTTCATACTTAGCATTGATCTCTTTCTTCATATCCATAGTAATTCTCACCCTTTTTGCTGTAGGGTTGGCACTAGAAGCTTTCTTGGGGCCCATGGTGGCTTATTTTGCAGGTGCAATCATTAAAAAGGCTGTGATAATATGAAATGTTCCGATTGTATGCTTGGAAGCTACCGCGGTGGCTGGCTGGCTTGTAAACACTGGCCAGAAGTGGACGTGTCTCAGACGGAACGAATAGTGTTGGTCGAGTTTTTTAGTGCTAGTCGAGGCAAAATTTTTGCGTTAAAATGTAATGCCATCGTTGGTCGAGGGTCCACTGTATATATATATATATATATATATATATATATATATATATATATATATATATATATATATATTATATATATATATATATATATATATATATTTATGTATATATATATATACGTATACAGTGGACCCCCGGTTAACGATATTTTTTCATTCCAGAAGTATGTTCAGGTGCCAGTACTGACCGAATTTTTTCCCATAAGGAATATTGTGAAGTACGTTAGTCCATTTCAGACCCCCAAACATACACGTACAAACGCACTTACATAAATACACTTACATAATTGGTCGCATTTGGAGGTGATCGTTAAGCGGGGGTCCACTGTATATATATATCTGAGTTTTATTTTCTTAATAGTTCTTATTCTTGTTTATTTCTGCTTATCTCATCTCCATGGGGGAGTGGAACAGAATTCTTCCTCCATAAGCCATGTGTGTTGTAAGAGGCAACTAAAATGCCGGGAGCAAGGGGCTAGTAACCTCTTCTCCTGTATACATTATTAAATTTAAATAGAGAAACTTTTGTTTTTCCTTTTAGGTCACCCCACCTCCATGGGATATGGCTTGGTTGTTGAAAAAAAAAAAAGATAATTTTTATCCTTTTTGTTGTGTTATATTTAAACTCACATTTTTCTCATGTTCATTATGGCCACATGAGTACAAAAGAGTGACTTAATGTCTCATAATATATTTTATGATTATTACAGGCTAAGTATGAACCACTTCCTTTGTCATCACCATTCACTCTGCATCCTGATGTTTACTCCATAAATCCATGTTTTAAGCCAAGGGTGCTATAGAATATTCACTTTATAACACAAATGATTTTGTGGCCTCTACTGTTGTCAGGAACCAAATTTTATTGTCATAACAAAACTGTCACCCAAAAAAGTATCCTGCCATCCCTGCCAACAGTTCTAGTGATGGTTGATGTGGTGGTCAGCTGGAGCCCAGAGACCATGACTAAGACAAATGATGATTACATTAGAAATGAAGAACAGGATTGTAAAAGAGACATTGAAGGTATCCTTCAAATTTGCAACTCCTATGATGAAGCTCTTCACCTTTTACAAACTGAAGAAAAGGCAACAGGAATGCATTTCGTTGGCCATCGAAAAGAAGGAATTTTTGACATGATTGGTAAGGCAAATTTTCTTTTATAATATTATATGTATATGTATTAATAACTAGGCATGATAATATCTCAAGGTTTGTCTCAGCTGTCTTAGGTAATTACCTCAATAAACTTCATCATAGTTAAAGCAACATCTAGTATGATATATGTATTGAAGTTGTGGATCATCATTCTTTCTTCCAGTGTCCACTGGAAGACCCTGTGATATCAGATTGTTTCTTCTTCTGAGATGACTTTCATGTATACTTACTTAGATAATGACCACAACACATGACACAAAGCATTAGTATGCATTATTGTTTATGTCTGTTGTGAGAATGAGGACTTAAAATGCAAGAACAGTGCCTTTCAAACCACAGTTTTTTGTGATTTGTTTGTTAAAAATTTGAATGTCTACTTCCTACTTTTCCTATTATACCTCATGGCCTCGTTTTATAGTTATCACTTGATGGTAACATATGTCAAAAGCCTTTTTCAAAATTCTGTACTCTGTATCTTTTCAAGGGATGTACAGTACAGATACCAGTGAATGGTCCAAGCTAGTGTCTCCTCATTTGTATTCTTTACCATACCTCCATACTTATATTTTTCCATTGCCTCCATAATTATATTTTTTGTACAATGCGTCATTGATTTTTGTCTAGTATTATAGCTGCGAGAAAGAGGATTTTCCTCTTTTAATGTCATGTTGATGTGGATTGTGAGGCTCATGACTATTCATTAGACCAGTAAAGTGTCTTCTCTCAGCATCCATTCAGATGATTTAACAGTGCATGATGTTAGTGCTGTTGGCCTGAGCTATAGCTTTTTCTCTCTTTGATCCAGCATCTTTGTAAATTTCTGTTAATTTACATATGAAACTTTACCTACATTTCGGAGCAAGATTACTGAGAATTTTATATTTCCATAGGTTCAGATATGAAGGAATTTATTGGAGAAGGAAGAAAACATATTAAATATTCAGCAAGTGTTGAGACAAAGGGCAGAGGTAATAATCCAGTGCCAGTGAGATACACAGGAGTGCCATTCATCGAGGCTGGTACTTACATCATGGAGTGCCACATGGGACATGATAGTGGGGTATGGAAAAAGAGGAGATATGCTGCAAATAGGGACAAAAAGGAGGTAGGGATACATTATTTTGGTTTTTGTCCTATGTAAGTGAACATTTGGGTGTGTTTGTATCTGCAGGCAGTCTGTCCTCCTAATTCAGAATACATATTAGTCTTGTTCTACAAACAAATATATATTTTTTACATATATAGGTTTGGTTACATTAGATTAGCTTAATATCAATAACATTTAATTAGTTATAACATATTAACATCAACAAATGCAAGAATACATAAAGCCAAACAAAATGGGAAACCACTAAAAAAAAAAAAAAGAAAGACTGAGCAAAATAAATAGGTGGATAGATACTAGTTATTCAGACTTTTTTTTTTTCAACAAGTCGGCCGTCTCCCACTGAGGCAGGGTGACCCAAAAAGAAAGAAAATCCCCAAAAAGAAAATATTTTCATCATCATTCAACACTTTCACTTCATTCATACATAATCACTGTCTTTGCAGACATGGCTGCACTGTAGATCACCATATCTTGAAGGAAGAAAACTGATATGGTAAAAAAAAAAATAACTGAAAAACTGTTGCTTTCAGTGTGAAAATCGAAAGTTGGGCAGGAGACGATTTCGGTCTCAAGATAGCAAAAAATTGGGATGCCCTGCCAGAGTGCATATTAAAAGAATTCTTAGACTTCCTGATTTTAAGGTTTGTAATATTCTCTTTCTCTCTGGCTGAAACCTGATTATTATGGCACTGTACATGATCTTTTTCGGTGACAGCAGTCCATGTCTATCAAACTATTGTTTACATATTACACTTTGTATTGCTATATATTGTTTGTTTTAATTTTCCCTATATACATGTTTTCATATAATTTGCCTGGCACAACATTCATTGTAAAAAAATTTTATTTTAAATAATTTTCTTAGCAAACACAAACTATACTGACATATGTGTTACAGATAAAGCAAAACACAGCAGCTGAAAGGACTAAAAATCGCATGAAAATTGTATTAGCCTTGAAGGATGATTTACAGTCAGTCAACTTCCAGCCAGTGTATTACGTTCTGCTTCCATTCCTTGAGAGTCACAGGTATCATGTGGTTGGCTTTGTGGTAAGTTAATGCATTGTTTGAGGTGGTGCTATGATATTAGCAGCATAAACAGTGATCAGTGAAAGGGTAAATCCCATGGGAATGGCAAATAAAACTGAGTAGAGCGAATCTATTTCAGCCTCATTGAGAGACCCTCTTCAAAGACCTTTTGCTGTAGAGGGTCAGTGATTGGAGGTCATGTGGGAATTAATTACTGTATTCACCTTTTTTAAGTGTTTAGTCTCAAGGGGCAGAATTCATGTTGTATAGTTTTCATAAAAAAGAGTATGGTAATTTTTGTCTAGTCATTAAATTTACACCACAAACCTTTGTCAGTTTTCTCTATTCAGTACATCCGTTCCATTAATTTTTTTTTGTTTCAGTACTGTATTTCCTTCTGGTTATCCTGCTTTCTCTTCAAATTTGATTTAGAATTCATTAAACTTTTTCAACATGCAAGCCAATCTTAAATTCTGCTGTTCACTTTACAGTCTTAACGAACCTGGACCATAACACAAATCCAGACCAAATGTATTGCTTGAGAGCTGTAACAAAACTCTTCAACTTTGCATAAGTAACAAATATGTCTTTGATAATTAATGCACACAACTGAATATGGAGTGAATGGAGACGAATGGTATTTGGGACCTGACGATCTGTTGGAGTGTGAGCAGGGTAATATTTAGTGAAAGGATTCAGGGAAACCGGTTATTTTTATATAGCCGGACTTGAGTCCTGGAAATGGGAAGTACAATGCCTGCACTCTAAAGGAGGGGTTCGGGATATTGGCAGTTTGGAGGGATATGTTGTGTATCTTTATACGTATATGCTTCTAAACTGTTGTGTTCTGAGCACCTCTGCAAAAACAGTGATTATGTGTGAGTGAGGTGCAAGTGTTGAATGATGATGAAAGCATTTTCTTTTTGGGGATTTTCTTTCTTTTTGGGTCACCCTACCTCAGTGGGAGACGGCCGACTTGTTAAAAAATAAAAAAAAATAAAACTGAATATGGTACTTGTAGAAACTTTATGTGAATAAGGACACTGATAATTTGTGCAGTAATTGGAGTATGTGCTGTTGAAGTGTGATCAAGATAACAATTATGAAGAGATTCAGGGCAACTGGTTAGCCAGTCATGGAGGTGAGAAGTAGAGTGCCTGTACTTTGAAGCATGGGTGGAGAAGCTTCAGTGTGGAGGTTCGTTTAAACTGTAGTGTCTGCATACTTCTGGCAAGACAGCCAGAGAATGACTGATGGTGAAAATTTCCTTTTTATTTTTTAGGGGGGTCACCTAGCTTTCCAAGAAAGGAAGACCCAAAGAGTATGGCCAGTTTGGTTAAAAAAAATTGTAGTGTGTAATGCGTACCTTCCCTTCAAGAGTGAGAGGATGCCTTTAAAGTGCTCTTGATCAATAATAATAATAATTAAGTCACCCAACCTAGGTAGAAGACAGCCAATGTATATTAAAAATAATAATAATACTGATAATGATAATAATGATGATGTGTTACCTTGCAGGCAGGAGTTATGGTACAAAAGGGCAAGGACAAAACATTGCACCTTCTTCAGATCAAAAAGTACTTGGAGACCGGTGCATACTTATCATCTGTTCTTAGTAATGAGAAAAAAGGCATTCGAGTTGCAGCAAAAGCATTCAGAATTGAAGGTCAGTGGTATTGTGGTGTTTTGTTTACCAGGAAATAAGAACATATCTCTTGTAACATGTATATGAATTCTTGTGAGCAGTTTCAAGACTTTCTATCCTCATGGATCAACCTGGAGCTATTTTTTTGTTGATTTTCTCTTCATCCAGGTTGTTGCTATTGGTAGTCCACTGGCTAAGAAAGTCATCACAATCTGGTTAATCCAACATTTTGCAGAAGTAGTGATACAGTTTCTTTTTGAATTCTTCTATATCTCTCATGGCAATATTTCTGATATCTGCTGGTGGTATTTAAGAGAGTTTTGGACTGTGGATGGTGACACAGAGTTCTCCTATTGTGACAATGGTGCCTATGTTTTTCACTGGGGTTTATTTTACATATTCTCCCATATCTTTCACTTCAGTAAATTATAGCAATGTGTAGGTTTGGGACCTTCTGATGCGAATCTTTGCCAAATGAAAATTTGCTCAGTGACTGGATTACCAGCGCTATAGACAGGGCTGTGGAATTGGCACATAAAACCTTCGACTCCAACTCCTTTATTTGTGGCACTTCCGACTCTGGCTCAACTCTTGTATATTGACATAGGGAAAAAATTTTAACTTTTTTTAACACTTCGGCCATCTCCCACCGAGGCAGGGTGACCTGAAAAAGATGAAACACTTTCATCGTCACTCACTCCATCACTGTCTTGCCAGAGGTGTGCCTACACTACAGTTCACAAATTGCAACATATCTCCACCTCTCCTTCAAAGTACAGACACTGTACTTTCCATCTCCAGGACTCAACTCTGGCTAACCAGTTCCCTGAATTCCATTAAATTTACTCCTTTGGCATCATGTACTTGTTTTAAACTAATTTAGCATTAGATAATTAATTTCAGAATTATTTTACTTACAAAAAGAGGACTATATTTCTTATTTTTTTTGCAGATAAACAGATGTTCTATGTTGGTAAAGATAATAGTGAGAAGAGAATTGTGCTGTTCACCAAAGAAGACAAACAAAAGGCCTTTGAGGAATGCCATATATTAAAGAAATCTGGGGAACATTTTGGTAAGCTGCAAAAATTATACATTTTTTTTTTTTCATAGTTTGTAGATCTGATAGCTTCAATTATGTTGAGGATTCTGCTTGCAGAAAATGCATTTTGGGATACTGCATAACACAGTAGATTTTCAAAGGATGTATTTTATATGTGACTATTTTTTATGTAGGCAGTCAGTTGTGTGAACCTGACCCTCTATGAGTGGTAACACAACATTAGCACTTTCTGTTAAGATCTTTCATTTGCTGAACAAATTCTTACCCTTATGTATTAGATTTATTAAAGCAGATTTTTGATAAACAGCCCTCCTGCCCAAAATGTCTTGCATAATAAAGGGAATTCTATAGTTTATATATGTCAGTCACCCTAATTCTGTAATATACTGTACTCCACTTTATAGAAATAAAGTTTGTTTGTTTGTCTCCTTAAATGTGGGTTGCCTTCATCAGGAAGATGGAAAGTAAATGCTGAATAAATTTTTCAGAATTTTCATGACTGATACTTGCATGGGTATTTCAGACTGTACTCTCACTGTGTACAATTTGGCTGAGAAATACTACTGGACAAGTATGGCAGAGGATATTGTTGGTATGGTAAGCAAAATTGGTATTCAAAATACTACCATTCACCCATTTTCCTACTGAATAATACCTCAGTAGTTGTCATGAATGTTTGCAAGACTATACCTGCCTGGCTGTACTTCTGGGGTTAAGTTTCTGCTCCTACCCCTCCCTTCCCCTCCATCTTAGTCTTCAGTCAAATGGTGCAATTGCTTCCTAGAGCTTTGGTTCTTTTTTTTTTTTTTTTTAACACGCCAGCCGTTTCCCACTGAGGCAGGGTGACCCTTTACAAAATATTACCCTGCTCACACTCCAAGAGCTCGTCAGGTAACAAAAACCATTTGTCCCCATTCACTCCTATCTAACATGCTCATGTATGCTTGCTGGAAGTCCAAGCCCTTCACCCACAAAACCTTTACCCTCCCCCAACCCCGCTTTCCTTCCCTTACAGATTTATACGCTCTCCAAGCCATTCTACTTAGTTTCATTCCCTCTAAATAACCAAACCACCTCAACATACCCTCTTCAGCTCTCTGACTAATACTTTTAGTACTCCACACCTCCTCCTAATTTCCACACTACGAATTCTCTGCATAATATATACACCACGTATTGCTCTTAACTCTTAAACTCTCCAAACATAGATCTACGTTTTTTCAAAATTTGAAAGTATGTAAAAAAATGTAGATCTTCTCTTTTTTTTTTTTGCATTTGAAAACGTGTAAAAAAAACTTGATCTACTTTTTTTTTTTTGTTATATTTGAAAATGTGCGTGGATGTACTGCGGATGACAAGAAACAGATGATTGCTGATGTTACGAATGAAAAGAAGTTGGATGTCCTGGCCCTAAGTGAAACAAAGCTGAAGGGGGTAGGGAAGTTTCGGTGGGGAGAAATAAATGGGATTAAATCTGGAGTATCTGAGAGAATTAGAGCTAAGGAAGGGGTAGCAATAATGTTGAAGGATCAGTTATGGAAGGAGAAAAGAGAATATGAATGTGTAAATTCAAGGATTATGTGGATTAAAGTAAAGGTTGGATGTGAAAAGTGGGTCATAATAAGTGTGTATACACCTGGAGAAGAGAGGAATGTAGAGGAGAGAGAGAGATTTTGGGAGATGTTAAGTGAATGTATAGGAGCCTTTGAACCAAGTGAGAGAGTAATTGTGGTAGGGGACCTGAATGCTAAAGTAGGAAAAACTTTTAGAGAGGGTGTGGTAGGTAAGTTTGGGGTGCCAGGTGTAAATGATAATGGGAGCCCTTTGATTGAACTTTATATAGAAAGGGGTTTAGTTATAGGTAATACATATTTTAAGAAAAAGAGGATAAATAAGTATACAAGATATGATGTAGGGCAAAATGACAGTAATTTGTTGGATTATGTATTGGTAGATAGAAGACTGTTGAGTAGACTTCAGGATGTACATGTTTATAGAGGGGCAACAGATATATCAGATCACTTTTTAGTTGTAGCTACACTGAGAGTAAAAGGTAGATGGGATACAAGGAGAATAGAAGCATCAGGGAAGAGAGAGGTGAAGGTTTATAAACTAAAAGAGGAGGCAGTTAGGGTAAGATATAAACAGCTATTGGAGGATACATGGGCTAATGAGAGCATAGGCAATGGGGTCGAAGAGGTATGGGGTAGGTTTAAAAATGTAGTGTTAGAGTGTTCAGCAGAAGTTTGTGGTTACAGGAAAGTGGGTGTAGGAGGGAAGAGGAGCTATTGGTGGAATGATGATGTAAAGAGAGTAGTAAGGGAGAAAAAGTTAGCATATGAGAAGTTTTTATAAAGTAGAAGTGATGCAAGGAGGGAAGAGTATATGGAGAAAATGAGAGAGGTTAAGAGAGTGGTGAAGCAATGTAAAAAGAGAGCAAATGAGAGAGTGGGTGAGATGTTATCAACAAATTTTGTTGGAAATAAGAAAAAGTTTTGGAGTGAGATTAGTAAGTTAAGGAAGCCTAGAGAACAAATGGATTTGTCAGTTAAAAATAGGAGAGGAGAGTTATTAAATGGAGAGTTAGACGTATTGGGAAGATGGAGGGAATATTTTGAGGAATTGTTAAATGTTGATGAAGATAGGGAAGCTGTGATTTCGTGTATAGGGCAAGGAGGAATAACATCTTGTAGGAGTGAGGAAGAGCCAGTTGTGAGTGTGGGGGAAGTTCGTGAGGCAGTAGGTAAAATGAAAGGGGGTAAGGCAGCCGGGATTGATGGGATAAAGATAGAAATGTTAAAAGCAGGTGGGGATATAGTTTTGGAGTGGTTGGTGCAATTATTTAATAAATGTATGGAAGAGGGTAAGGTACCTAGGGATTGGCAGAGAGCATGCATAGTTCCTTTGTATAAAGGCAAAGGGACAAAAGAGAGTGCAAAAATTATAAGGGGATTAGTCTGTTGAGTATACCTGGTAAAGTGTATGGTAGAGTTATTATTGAAAGAATTAAGAGTAAGACGGAGAATAGGACAGCAGATGAACAAGGAGGCTTTAGGGAAGGTAGGGGTGTGTGGACCAGTGTTTACAGTGAAACATATAAGTGAACAGTATTTACATAAGGCTAAAGAGGTCTTTGTGGCATTTATGGATTTGGAAAAGGCATATGACAGGGTGGATAGGGGGGCAATGTGGCAGATGTTGCAGGTGTATGGTGTAGGAGGCAGGTTACTGAAAGCAGTGAAGAGTTTTTACGAGGATAGTGAGGCTCAAGTTAGAGTATGTAGGAAAGAGGGAAATTATTTCCCAGTAAAAGTAGGCCTTATATATTTATAGATGGGGTTGTAAGAGAAGTAAATGCGAGGGTCTTGGCAAGAGGCATGGAGTTAAAAGATAAAGAATCACACATAAAGTGGGAGTTGTCACAGTTGCTCTTTGCTGATGACACTGTGCTCTTGGGAGATTCTGAAGAGAAGTTGCAGAGATTGGTGGATGAATTTGGTAGGGTGTGCAAAAGAAGAAAATTAAAAGTGAATACAGGAAAGAGTAAGGTTATGAGGATAACAAAAAGATTAGGTGATGAAAGATTGGATATCAGATTGGAGGGAGAGAGTATGGAGGAGGTGAATGTATTCAGATATTTGGGAGTGGACGTGTCAGCGGATGGGTCTATGAAAGATGAGGTGAATCATAGAATTGATGAGGGGAAAAGAGTGAGTGGTGCACTTAGGAGTCTGTGGAGACAAAGAACTTTGTCCTTGGAGGCAAAGAGGGGAATGTATGAGAGTATAGTTTTACCAACGCTCTTATATGGGTGTGAAGCATGGGTGATGAATGTTGCAGCGAGGAGAAGGCTGGAGGCAGTGGAGATGTCATGTCTGAGGGCATTGTGTGGTGTGACTATAATGCAGAGAATTCGTAGTTTGGAAGTTAGGAGGAGGTGCGGGATTACCAAAACTGTTGTCCAGAAGGCTGAGGAAGGGTTGTCGAGGTGGTTCGGATATGTAGAGAGAATGGAGCGAAACAGAGTGACTTCAAAAGTGTATCAGTCTGTAGCAGAAGGAAGGCGGGGTAGGGGTCGGCCTAGGAAAGGTTGGAGGGAGGGGGTAAAGGAGGTTTTGTGTGCGAGGGGCTTGGACTTCCAGCAGGCATGCGTGAGCGTGTTTGATAGGAGTGAATGGAGACAAATGGTTTTTAATACTTGACATGCTGTTGGAGTGTGAGCAAAGTAACATTTATGAAGGATTCAGGGAAACCGGCAGGCCGGACTTGAGTCCTGGAGATGGAAGTACAGTGCCTGCACTCTGAAGGAGGGGTGTTAATGTTGCAATTTAAAAGCTGTAGTGTAAAACACCCTTCTGGCAAGACAGTGATGGAGTGAATGATGGTGAAAGTTTTTCTTTTTTGGGCCACCCTGCCTTGGTGAGAATCGGCCGATGTGTTAATAATAAAAAAAAAAAATGAAAATATGTAAAAAAACGTAGATCTACTTTTGGAGCACTACGCATGTGAACGTAAATCTGTTTGGACAGTTTAAGGGTTAAACAGGACATCTCCACTGCCTTCAGCTGCCTCTTCACTGCATCATTTACAACCCATGCTTCACACCCATATAAGAGTGTTGTTACTACTATACTCTCGTACATTCCCTTCTTTGCCTCCATGGAAAATGTTTTTTTGTCTCCACAGATACCTCAACACACCACTCACCTTTTTTCCTTCATTAATTCTATGGTTAACCTCATCTTTCATAAACCCATCTGCTGACAAGTCAACTCCCAAATATCTGAAAACATTCACTTCTACCATACTCCCCCCTTCCAATGTGATATCCAATTTTTCTTTATCTAATTCATTTGATACCCTCATCACCTTACTCTTATCTATGTTCACTTTCAACTTTCTACATTTTCCTGGTATAATATTTTCTTTCAAATCTTCACATGCCAGTCACTTCCATTACTACTACTATCTTTCCTAATGTTTAACATTTCCCTGCTATCTTTACATTGCAAATGTTCTTCTTGGCACCTCTTTGACTTAATATGATACTTTATTGTTCTGGTGGTCACCTAAAAGATGTCATGCATAAAATAATTATGTTACTTATCAATTTTTGCAAGAACACAACAGTTGTCAGGCGACATATTATTCGCCTTGTGCATGTCCAAATTATTTATCATGGGAGATATCCACAACCAACAGGTTTTAGATAAGAGTACACGTATATATATTTTTCAAAATAATGCTTACAGATTGCTGCTAATATTTACTAACATTCAGAAACATTATTTCAATATCCAAAGTCAGAAGTGTTGTTTAATTAGTATTACAGAAATTTTAACTTACAGGTTGTTGTCTGTGATGTATGCAAATTAAATAAAAGGAGTCCCTGTAGAGAATATAAATCTGATCTCAAACAGCAAAATCAGGTAAGATATTTTCATAAGAAGTGATTAATTTAAATTTAACATTTACTGCACTCGCATCTGTTTCTATCTTTCATCACCTCGGATTCTTTAGCACACTGATTACTTTCCCCCTCATTTATTCTATGAGTTACCTGATGTTTTATAGATCCATATGTCAACTCATCATCTCCCAAGTATCTAATTCACATCCTCCATACTCCTTTCAGTTTGGCCTCCAGTATTAATTAACCTAGAATTACTACTTACTATCATCACCTTGCTCTTCTTTTTAAACTTCTTTTACATACCTTTCCAGTTTCTTTAACCAACATCTGCAGCTTCAGAGGGTCATATGAACTGTGATGTCAGCACATTTCTAGTAAGATAGTGATTGAATGAAAGACTATAAATGTGTTTCCTTTTTTTGGGGGCTCCCTACCTCAGTGTGAAAAAAAAAAAATATTGTGACAAATATCCTTCTTCAGATCTTATCAGCAACAGTTCCTCTTTTTTCTTAAATACAGGAGGGCCCTGCACCTACTTTCGGTGTTCCACGTTTTTGTTGGCTTTCAGGTGAGCCAGTGTTCCACCTGCCAGTGATAGTCATCAGTGGGTGGAATGTAATGAACAATTTCTCAGTGTGATGCCAACAAAAATATGGAATAAGGTGCTGTATATGAGGGGGAAGGGAGGGGCCTTCTGTACTGTTTACAAAAATATTTTACAAATTCTGTGTCCTAGGAGGAGAATTTTAAGTCTCTAAATTTTTAATAATAAAATTTAACAGAGCTTGCTTCTTCGACAGATTGTTAAACATCATAAAGCACATCACTTGAAGAGAGAGAGCACATCACTCCTCATAGAAAAGGATTCCTTGGATTCAAAAATTAAGTTTATTGCCAAGCCCAAGAGTGCATCCTCCACCAAGGTTGACGACTACTTAACAAGTGATGCCGATCACAAAATACGTAAAGAGTCCACAGTTACCAAAATAGATAACTTCAAAGTTCATAATAATTATCCCAGAGGAGTAATGAAAGTTGTGGACTCATATGAACAAGTCATCAACCTTATCAAGGCAGAAGAAAAAGTAACAGGGATGCATTTTGTAGGACACCGAAAGGAAGGAATTTTTGATATAATAGGTAATAAAGACAGTGTCTAAAGTTATACATATTTTTTAACTCATTTCTTCCCCTAAGTAGAGCAACCCAGAGAAGATAATATTCACCATTATTCACTCTTTGGTTGTCTTCCCAGACTGGCATTGATGTCACGGTCCATTGTTAACCCAGCAAACTGAAACCTTCCCATGCCACTTTCAGAGAGGAAGCTCTGTACTTCCTAGCTTCTGAGGCTCAAATATAACTTATTTAATATAATGGATCACTCTCCTCTTCTTGCATCAATTTGTTACACTTCTATATTTAAATTAGTACTTCATTCACAACCATATTTTACAAATTTCTTGGACCTCAACTTTCTCTTCCCCTGCACCATCTTCCATATTATCATGCTCAATTCCATTCCCTCTACATGACCCAGTTCTTTATTGGGGGTGTCTTGATGTTAGTGAAGGACTCTTCATCTACCTGTTAGTCCAAACAGGATATTTCTTCCTCCCTTTCATCATCTGCACATAACAGTTTCCATGAATATTCAGTCTCTGACATCTCTCTTTTCTTCTTTATCATCTCATCTTGTTTGCTGTTTTCTGAAACTTGTTCTTCTTTTCTGCAAAAAATTTGTTGACATTACCTAACTTGTTCTTATTTCTTATGAACTCCTCTACTCCTTTTTAACTTCTCTTTTCTTTTTATATATAGTCTGTATGCTTAGTATATTAGGTAGTAGGTTGGTAGACAGCAACCGCCCAGGGAGGTACTACCGTCCTGCCAAGTGAGTGTAAAACGAAAGCCTGTAATTGTTTTACATGATGGTAGGATTGCTGGTGTCCTTTTTTCTGTCTCATAAACATGCAAGATTTCAGGTACGCCTTGCTACTTCTACTTACACTTAGGTCACACTACACATATATGTACAAGCATATATATACACACCCCTCTGGGTTTTCTTCTATTTTCTTTCTAGATCTCCATGGGGAAGTGGAACAGAATTCTACCTCCGTAAGCCATGCGTGTTGTAAGAGGCGACTAAAATGCCGGGAGCAAGGGGCTAGTAACCCCTTCTCCCGTATAAATTACTAAATTTGAAAAGAGAAACTTTTGTTTTTCTTTTTGGGCCACCCTGCCTTGGTGGGATACGGCCGGTTTGTTGAAAAAAAAAAGTTAGTATATTGTATTAAATTCATATTATCAACAGTATTAATAATAACTGTTTTTATGCAAATAAATTATTAAACAAAAACATAGGTGCTCACTAACATAGCATTATGAGTTTTCATATGTCGTTTGTTTATTTAGGCTCGGATATGAAGGCCTTTGCTGGAGAAGGAAGAAAACATATTAGATATTCAGTGAGCATTGGAACAAAAGGGAGAGGCTATGACCCAGTGCCAGTAGAATACACAGGAGTGCCATTCATTGAGGCAGGAACCTATGTCATGGAATGCCAGATGGGCAGTGATAGCGGAATATGGAATAAGAGGAGATATGCTGCAAATAGGGATAAGATGGAGGTGAGTAAAAATTTGCTAGTTGCACTGTAGGGCTTTTACCCTTGTAAGAATATTTATGACCATTGCGAGGCTTTGCCTAGGGACCAGGACCAAGACCTTGCTCGACACAATTAACTCACTTTTTGACTGTCTTCCTAGACAATTCTTTGACTACCTTAGACTTTCTGCAGTGCCTTCTGTACTACAGAAAGTTTGTTTAGGTTTGCTTATCATAAGTGTAATGAAGTTATTTGATGCCATACTAAAGCATCTATACATAGCATGAAGAATTCTTTCTTGAGAACAGAAGCAATCCTTCAGTGAATAATAATATGTAAAGTCTTGTGAAAGAGGCACATGATAGCTGCCCAGTGAGAGTTAGAGAGAAGTTGAATGGAGTGTTTGGGGTGATAGGAGATGACATCTGCTGTTCAGAATTTTTTTTTTTTTTTTTTTTTAACAAGTCGGCCGTCTCCCATCGAGGCAGGGTGACCCAAAAAGAAAAAAAATCCCCAAAAAGAAAATACTTTCATCATCATTCAACACTTTCACCTCTCTCACACATAATCACTGTTTTTGCAGAGGTGCTCAGGACACAACAGTTTAGAAGCATATACAGTGGACCCCCGCATAACGATTACCTCCGAATGCGACCAATTATGTAAGTGTATTTATGTAAGTGCGTTTGTACGTGTATGTTTGGGGGTCTGAAATGGACTAATCTACTTCACAATATTTCTTATGGGAACAAATTCGGTCAGTACTGGCACCTGAACATACTTCTGGAGTGAAAAAATATCGTTAACCGGGGGTCCATTGTACGTATAAAGATACACAACATATCCCTCCAAACTGCTAATATTCTGAACCCCTCCTTTAGAGTGCAGGCATTGTACTTCCCACATCCAGGACTCAAGTCCGGCTGTATAAAAATAACCGGTGTCACTGAATCCCTTCACTAAATATTACCCTGCTCACACTCCAACAGATCGTCAGGTCCCAAATACCATCCGTCTCCATTCACTCCTATCGAGCACCCTCATGCACACCTGCTGGAAGTCCAAGCCCCTTGCCCACAAAACCTCCCTTACCCCTTCCTTCCAACCTTTTCGAGGACGACCCCTACCCCGCCTTCCTTCCTTTACAGATTTATACGCTCTCCATGTCATTCTACTTTGATCCATTCTCTCTAAATGACCAAACCACCTCAACAACCCCTCTTCAGCCCTCTGACTAATACTTTTATTAACTCCACACCTCCTAATTTCTACACTCAAAATTTTCTGCATAATATTTACACCACACATTGCCCTTAGACAAGACATCTCCACCGCCTCCTCGCTGCTGCATTCACAACCCAAGCTTCACACCCATACAAGAGTGCTGGTACTACTATACTTTCATACATTCCCTTCTTTGCCTCCATAGATAACATTTTTTGTCTCCACATATACCTCAACACACCACTCACTTTTTTTCCCTCATTAGTTCTTTGATTAACCTCATCCTTCATAAATCCATCTGCCAACACGTCAACTCCCAAGTATCTGAAAATATTCACTTCTTCCATACTACTCCTCCCCAATTTGATATCAAATTTTTCTTTATCTAAATCATTTGATACCCTCATCACCTTCCACTTTTCTGTGTTCACTTTCAACTTTCTACCTTTACACACACTCCCAAACTCATCCACTAACCTTTGCAATTTTTCTTTAGAATCTCCCATAAGCACAGTATTATCAGCAAAAAGTAACTGTGTCAATTCCCATTTTGTATTTGATTCCCCATAATTTAATCCTACCCCTCTCCCGAACACCCTAGCATTTACTTCTTTTACATCCCCATCATATCCTGTTCTTCTTCATTCCTAAAAGATGGTATACCTCTCTGGCCAGTGCATGATATTACCGCTTCCCTTTCTTCGTCAACATTTAAAAGTTCCTCAAAATATTCTCGCCATCTACCCAAAACCTCCATCTCCCCATCTACTAACTCCCCTACTCTGTTTTTAACTGACAAATCCATTCGTTCTTTAGGCTTTCTTAACTTGTTTAACTCCAAAATTTTTTCTTATTTTCATTAAAATTTCTTGACAGTGCCTCTCCCACTCTATCATCTGCTCTCTTTTTGCACTCTCTCACCACTCTCTTCACCTTTCTTTTACTCTCCATATACTCTACTCTTACAACAATTCTACTTTGTAAAAACCTCTAATAAGCTAACTTTTTCTCTTTTATCACACCCTTTACTTCATCATTCCACCAATCACTCCTCTTTCCTCCTGCACCCACCCTCCTATAACCACAAACTTCTGCCCCACATTCTAATACTGCATTTCTAAAACTATTCCAACCCTCTTCAATCCCCCCACTACTCATACTTGCACCAGCCCACCTTTCTGCCAATAGTTGCTTATATCTCACCTTAACTTCCTCCTCCCTTAGTTTATACACTTTCACCTCCCTCTTGCTTGTTGTTGCCATTTTCCTCTTTTCCCATCTACCTCTTACTCTAACTGTAGCTACAACTAAATAATGATCCGATATATCAGTTGCCCCTCTATAAACGTGTACATCCTGGAGCCTACCCGTCAACCTTTTATCCACCAATACATAATCTAACAAACTACTTTCATTCCGTGCTATATCATAATTTGTATATTTATTTCTCCTCTTCATAAAATATGTATTACTTATTACCAAACCTCTTTCTACACATAGGTCAATTAAAAGCTCCCCATTTTCATTTACCCCTGGCACCCCAAATTTACCTACTACCTCCCCAACATTTTTGCCAACTTTAACATTGAAATCCCCAACCATCATTACTCTCACACTTGGTTCAAAACTCCCCACGCATTCACTCAACATTTCCCAAAATCTCTCTCTCTCCTCTAGACTTCTTTCTTCTCCAGGTTCAGATATGCTTACTATAACCCACTTTTCACATCCAACCTTTATTTTACTCCACATAATCCTTGAATTTATACATTTATAGTCCCTCTTTTCCTGCCATAACTTATCCTTCAACATTATTGCTACTCCTTCTTTAGCTCTAACTCTATTTGAAACCCCTGACCTAATCCCATTTATTCCTCTCCACTGAAACTCTCCTACCCCCTTCAGCTTTATTTCACTTAAAGCCAGGACATCCAGCTTCTTCTCATTCATAACATCCACAATCATCTCTTTCTTATCATTTGCACAACATCTGTGCACATTCAGACTTCCCACTTTGACAATTTTCTTCTTATTCTTTTTAGTAATTATTACAGGAAAAGGGGTTACTAGCCCATTGTTCCTAGCATTTTAGTTGACTTTTACAACACGCATGGCTTACGGAGGAAAGATTCTTATTCCGCTTCCCCATGGATATAAAAGGAAAAGTAATAAGACCAAGAACTATTAAGATAAAATCAAAGAAAACTCAGATAAGTGTGTATAAATAAACATGTACATGTATGTGTAGTGTGACCTAAGTGTAAGGAGAAGTAGCAAGATGTACCTGTTCAGAAATGTAACCATTAATTTTCCTGAAGGTTTAGAAACCATAACTACTCTGTTATGATGGAGATTTTCAAAGCAGGTGGGAATACAATTTTGGAGTTGTTAGTGTATTTGTTCAGTATACAGTATGCATGAAATAAGGGAAGATACTTAAGGATTAGCAGAGAGCATGCAAATTTCTTTATATAAGGGGAGAAGAGAACAAAAGATAATGTAAGAATTATAGGGAAATAAGCCTGTTAAGTATACGTACCAGATAAAATGTATGGTAGAATTATTACTGTAAGAGTTAGCAGTAAGACAGAAAGTCAGATTGCAGAGGAACAGAACTTAGAAAGGGTTGGGGATGTGTAGACTTAAGTGTTTACCTTGAAAGATGTAAGTAAACATTTAGATAAAAATAAGGAATTCTTTGTTGCATTTATGGATAGGGGTCACTATAGCAAATGTTGCAAATATTTTGAATAAGAAATAGGCTATAAAAACAAGTTTTTTTATATGGAAAAAGTTATGGTATGAAAAAGAGAAAATGACTAATTTCCAGTAAAAGTAGGTCTTAGACAGTAATGTGTGGTGTCTTTCACAACCCCATTTATAGATGGGGTTGTAAAAGAATTGAATGCTAAGGTGCTGGTAATCGAAAGATGATTAATACGAAGGGGGAATTGTCACAGTTACTCTTTGCCAGTGACAGTATTTTGGGGGAGAATCCAAAGAAAGGTTGCAGATGTAAGTTGAGGAGTTTGGGAGGGTGTATGAAAGAAGAAAATTTAAAGTGAACTTAGAAAAAGAAAGATGAGGGTACCAAAAAGGTTAAGTAATAAAGTACAGTACTGGATATCACGCTGGAGGGAGGGAATATATAGAAGTGAATGTATTTAGATATATGACTCCTGTACCTCCTTCCTTCCACAGTTTTATAACACTTGTGGTCATCCTATTATGTTCCATCACCTCTAAATGCCCAAACCCACTTGAGCAACACCTCCTCAGCCCTCTGAATTATATCTTTGGTAACCTCCCACTAAGTCTTCTAATTTCTATTCTCTGAAATCTCAGACATGGTATCTCCACTGCCCCCAGCATCCTTCTGGCTGTAGTGTTTAAAACTCATGCCTCACACCCATAAAGAAGTGTTAGTACTACTATACTCTGGTACATTTCCCATCTTCCTCCATAGATATACCTTTCTTTGCACAGATGCCTAACACACCACCTACTTTTTTTCTTCCATCATCTGTTTTATGGTTCATTTCAACTTTCATGATTGGTTCACTCTTAGATATCCTCCTTACTCCCTTCCCCCAATCTAATATCCAATCTTTCATTGCCTATATATCTTGTTGCTCTCATCACCTTGCTCTTTTTTTTCACTTTTAATTCCCTTCTCTTTCTTACCCTCCCTAATACCTCCACCAAGATGATGTGATTAATAAATTGCTATTATAATGCTAGTTATAATGATGCTCATTACCACCTTTCTGTTTTTATTATAGGAGAAAAGCCACGTTAGAATCAGGAGAAGGACACTGGCCCACAGAACCAAGAAAATGGGTTGTCCAGCAAAAATACACATTAAAAGAATTCTAAGAATGCCAGACTTTAAGGTTAGTGTAGTGAATGTGATGAACAGCTTATACTAGTTTAACACTTTTAACTGATAATTATAACAATTATGTTGCTGCTGGTGCTGCTGCTGTTGTCCCCACCACAACCACTGCTGCTGTTGATGCTGCTGTTATACTACTACAGGTCCACATTCCTTTATCCGAAATTCTGAAATTCGAAAAGTTCCGAAAACTGAAATTTTTCTGTGGAGTGTGGAATGTTAGTCATTTCTACATAACTCCACCACTGCCACTTGTTTCTCAGCACTTGTAGTGTTCACACATACATCTGCTGTTCTCTGATATTTTGTTTTTGCTTTTTATTTTGTGACTGTGTTTAATTACTGTGAAAATGTCAGAAAGAGCTTCAGATACCCTATGGGTAACAGTGAGAAAAAAAAAAAAGGAAGCATCTGACGTTATCAGTAACGCAGAAAGTAGAGTTACTGCAGAAGCTTGATCGTAGTGTGTCAGTGCGGCATCTTACTGAAGAATATGGTGTTGGAACTACCACTGTTTATGATTTAAAGAAACAGAAAGACAAATTACAGTGAAAATAATGACCAAAAACTAATGAAAAATAGGAAAACACTACATAGGGCAAAAACGAAGATCTTGACTGTGTTACAGGAAGCTGACAATGATGCACCTGTTGTGGATTCTTTTGAGTGATGGGGAAATTGCTGAAATGGTGTTAAATACAAATAAGCAAGATAATAGTGGTGATGATGATGATGATGATGACATTGTGAACACTGGTGAAAAAGTCCCCATAGATGATATGGTGAAAATGTGTGATCAGTTAATTGCTGGCCTTAAACATTTATCAGTGAGCAAGAGATTATGGCAATTTACTCAGTTAAAGAGAGATTGCTTAGACAGAAACCTATGTAATAAGACAGATGACACTTCAAGAAGTCTTTAAAAGCACTGTCTGACAATCGTCTTCAGAATCATGTTCCTGGTCTATAATTATCCCATTATTTCATTTGTCAATATATACTACCGTAATAGTATTTGTAGTCTTTATTTATCCCACTTAGTGTGAGTATTCATACATTTTTGCTGCAGTGTTAATGTTTGATTATGCGGTGCTGCCCTAGACCCCACCTTCAATCTGAAATTCGAAAAATTCTGAAATTCAAAACACTACTGGCCCCCAAGGGTTTCAGATAAAGGAATGTGGACCTGTACTATTATACTACTACTACTACTAAAGTAATAATAATGTATTATGAATACTGTACTGTAGTTAAGTTTTTTGTCTATGATAATTGACAGTAATTATAATTAAAATATGTATTAATATATTGTACAGTATCATTTTATTTCATCCATGATCATTTTACATATCTGTCTATCCATTATGCAGTACATAATTATTTGTAGATAGTTATTCTGAGCCTAGGTTGGTAGACAGCAACCGCCCAGGGAGGTACTACTGTCCTGCCAAGTGAGTGTAAAACGAAAGCCTGTACAGGAAGGCCCCACTTATATGGCTGGTTAGGTTCCAGGCTACCGCCGTAAAGCGGAAACCGCCGTAAAGTGGAACACCCTTTTTTTCCACTTACAAATGCATACAAACACTAGATAACAAGTTTACACTAACATATATTAAGTTAGCAATAGAACCAGGCATAAAAAAACAATAAAAAAGTACAATACACACATAGTGCACTCATTACTTACCTTAAAATATTTATAGTCTTAATCTAGGGTGAGACAAGTAGTATTTATTGTAAGAAATCAAGTGTGGTATGTATGGTAGTCAGCCAGGCTACCATACCAGGCCACCCCACCCACACATACAATTCTATGATATTTAAGCATCCCAGAGCGATAAAATGTATATACAGTTCACTCATTACTTACCTTAAAATATAGGGTGAGATGAGTAGTATTTATTGTAAAAAATCAAGTGTGGTATGTATGGTAGTCAGCCGGGCTACCATACCAGGCCAACCCACCTACACATAATATTCTATTACATTTAAGCATCCCAGAGCGATAAAATGTATATACAGTTCACTCATTACTTACCTTAAAATATTTGTAGTCTTAATGTAGGGTCAGGAGTAAGTAAATGAGATAAAACGAATAAATGAGAGAGAGAAAGAATGAGTGCATGAGAGAGGACAGGCGCAGAGTTATGTAAACAAACCAGGCGAAGGTAAGTTTTGTAAACGAAGTGTACACGTCTGGTTTGTGTACAAGTTACATTGTGTACAGGTTGTCTCTACATTGATACGGTAGAATAAATAAAGAAGAACACTCCCATTCTCATGTAACATCATTTTGAGAAGAAATGATGCTCTGAGTGAAGGCAATGGAAATAAGTCACTCTGACTTTTTTGGGTTATCCTAGGTTCTCTACACATATGTTATTATGTATGATAATCTATGTAACTGTATTTGTGTATACCTGAATAAACTTACATACATACGAAAGGAATAATTTTCTACAGTTACCCCCAGTAACACATTTTCTCTTATGTTAGATTAGAGAAAATGTTATTCTTGGCATCACTTGTACAAGTTATCTGGCTACCACATCTCATATTTATGTTTATTTATTCTATTGTAGGTGTATTTATCATCTTTTTTTGTTATGTATCGTGTTTATTATATAATTTTGAAAAAAATATCATGGATGGATTAATGAAAATGTGTATATTAACGTAATATACAACATTTAATGAGACTCGGTGATTATTATTATTATTATTAGCATTTCTAATATGGCGTCACTTGTGCAAGTCGTCTGCTACCACATCTCATATTTATGTTTATTTATTCTATTGTGGGGTGTATTTATCATCTTTTTATGTTATGTATCGTGTTTATTATATAATTTTGAAAAAATATCATAGATGGATTAATGAAAATGTGTATTTAACGTAATATACGACATTTAAATGAGACTCGGTGATTATTATTATCATTACTAATATGATGTCTGGAGACATAAGACACTCTTACTGATTTTAATGTGTACCTGCACGCCAGCACAGTATGTAAGTTTATTTAAGTACAGGTATACATAAGTATAATTATCAGAGTATATATAAAATATGAAATAACTTTAAAAACATTTGAAATTTTGGAGTTTCCAGACAAAATGGAGAGACTTAGTGCTTACTGAGCTCACGAAGAATGTAAACAAACAAGGTGGGGCGCGGTGACCGTATTAGAAAGTCAGGTGGGGGGAGCCGTATAGTGAGTTTTGGTCATAATTTGAAATGACCGTATTAGCGGAACGCCGTAAAGTGAAACGCCGTAAAGTGGGGCCCTGCTGTAATTGTTTTACGTGAAGGTAGGATTGCTGGTGTCCTTTTTTCTGTCTCATAAACATGTAAGAATTCAGGTATGTCTTGCTACTTCTACTTACACTTAGGTCACACTACACATACATGTACAAGCATATATATACACACACCCCTCTGGGTTTTCTGCTATTTTCTTTCTAGTTCTTGTTTATTTCCTCTTATCTCCATGGGGAAGTGGAACAGAATTCTTCCTCTGTAAGCCATGCGTGTTGTAAGAGGCGACTAAAATGCCGGGAGCAAGGGTCTAGTAACCCCTTCTCCTGTATAAATTACTAAATTTAAAAAAGAGAAACTTTTGTTTTTCTTTTTGGGCCACCCTGCCTTGGTGGGATATGGCCGGTTTGTTGAAAAAAGAAAAAAAGTTATTCTGAGATATTTTCTGTAGCATATATGTACCTTTTAGCTTAAATCGCCATGAAAGTTATACCAAAAATGTCATAAAAATTGCTAAACCTTACTTGTAAATTATAAATAAATAATAAATATAAAATGCTCTAATATAAAAGATGCTGTAGATTTTGTTTATGCATCACAAGTCACCCTGCCTCAGTGGGAGACAGCCAGCGTCTTAAAAAAAAAATCACGTTTCTAGAAAAATTGGCCAGGGAATCACTGCTAATTTTTATTTTTCTTCAGATCAAGAGTAACACAAAAGCTGAGAAAGAGAAGAATCGGGAGAGAATTATTAAAGCATTGAAAGACGATGTTGAAAATGTTAGTTTCCAGACACTGTACTACATATTACTGCCAGAGGTGGAGAGCCATGAGTTCCACGTTGTCGACATTGTGGTTTGTGTCTCTGTTTCAGTTTTGTGTGTCTGTGTGTGTGCGTGTGTGTAATTACTGAAGGCAGGTAGGGATGTTGGTTTTTGGAGAGTTGTCTGAATTGTAATGTCTCCAAACTTCTGGTAAGACATCTATTTATTCATGGAATGATGAATGCAATTCCTTCTTCAGTTCACCCTACCTTGGAGGAAAAATGGCCAATGTGTGAAAAATAGAATACTTGTGATTACTAAACATTTCTTATTTGTACTTAAAGAAGTAAAGCTAGTCTCATGGTGAATGTGTTTCTTTTTCAGGTCACCCTACCTCGGTAGGGGACATCCTGTGTGTTAATTAAAAAAATATACTTTGTTTACATTTTTATTAGCTTTTTTTTTTTTTTTTTTTTTAACAAGTTGGCCATCTCTCACCAAGGCAGGGTGACCCAAAAACAAAGAAAATCTCCAAAAAGAAAATACTTTCATCATCATTCAACACTTTCACCTCTCTCACATATAATCACTGTTTTTGCAGAGGTGCTCAGAATACAACAGTTTAGAAGCATATATGTATAAAGATACACAACATATCCCTCCAAACTGCCAATATCCCAAACCCCTCTTTTAAAGTGCAGGCATTGTACTTCCCATTTCCAGGACTCAAGTCCGACTATATAAAAAATAACCAGTTTCCCTGAATCCCTTCTCTAAATATTACCCTGCTCACACTCCAACAGCTCGTCAGGTCCCAAATACCATTCGTCTCCATTCACTCCTATCTAACACGCTCACGCACGCTTGCTGGAAGTCCAAGTCCCTCGCCCACAAAACCTTCACCCCCTCCCTCCAACCTTTTCGAGGACAACCCCTACCCCGCCTTCCTTCCCCTACAGATTTATATGCTCTCCATGTCATTCTACTTTGATCCTTCTCTCTAAATGACCAAACCACCTCAACAACCCCTCTTCAGCCCTCTGACTAATACTTTTATTAACTCCACACCTCCTAATTTCCACACTCCGAATTTTCTGCATAGTATTTACACCACACATTGTGCTTAAACAGGACATCTCCACTGCCTCCAACCGCCTCCTCACTGCAGCATTTACAACCCAAGCTTCACACCCATATGAAAGTGTTGGTACTACTATACTTTCATACATTCCCTTCTTTGCCTCCATAGATAACGTTTTTTGTCTCCACATATACCTCAATGCACCACTCGCCTTTTTTTTCTTCATCAGTTCTATGATTAACCTCATCCTTCATAAATCCATCCGCTGACATGTCAGCTCCCAAATATCTGAAAACATTCACTTCTTCCATACTCCTTCTCCCCAATTTGATATTCAATTTTTCTTTATCTAAATTATTTGATACCCTCATCACCTTACTCTTTTCTATGTTTACTTTCAACTTTCTACCTTTACACACACTCCCAAACTTGTCCACTAACCTTTGCAATTTTTCTTTAGAATCTCCCATAAACACAGTATCATCAGCAAAAAGTAACTGTTAATTCCCATTTTGTATTTGATTCCCCATAATTTAATCCCACCCCTTTCTCGAACACCCTAGCATTTACTTCTTTTACAACCCCGTCTATAAATATATTAAATAACCATGGTGACATTACACATCCCTGTCTAAGACCTACTTTTACCGGGAAGTAATCTCCTTCTCTTCTACACACCCTAACCTGAGCCTCACTATCCTCATAAAAACTCTTTATAGCATTTAGTAACTTAACACCTATTCCATATACAGTGGACCCCCGCATAACGATTTTAATCCGTGCAAGAGGGGTAATTGTTATGCGAAATAATCGGTATGTGAATGAATTTTCCCCATAAGAAATAATGGAAATAAAATTAATCCGTGCAAGACACCCAAAAGTATGAAAAAAAAAATTTTTTACCACATGAAATATACATTTTCCCACACACAAAGAGAAGGATACATGCACAATAGTAGAGTAGTACATGCACAGTATATATTGTGCATGTACTAGTCTACTAAATGAAGAATAAATGACACTTACCTTTATTGAAGATGCAGCAATGACTGATGAGACACTGTGTCCTGGGAGTGCCTTTTCCTCCTGAGTACTGTAGGTCCTGTTTGGCATTTTCTTCCAGAACAGGCCTTATCACACTGTGTATGCCACTACGATTCTTAAATCTCTCAAACCAACCTTTGCTGGCTTTAAATTCACCAATATGAGCACTAGTTCCAGGCATTTTTCCCTGTTCACCTGGGTGTTAGTCGACTTGTGTGGGTTGCATCCTGGGAGACAAGATTAAGGACCCCAATGGAAATAAGTTAGACAGTCTTCGATGACACTGACTTTTTTGGGTTATCCTGGGTGGCAAATCCTCTGGGGTTAATTGTTTCTTGGTATTCTCAATAAGCCACACCAACAACGGTGCTACAGCAGCAGCAGCAGCTGACGGTGGTACAGCAGCAACAGACGATGCTACAGCAGCAACAGACGATGTTACAGCAGCAGCAGACGATGCTACAGCAGCAGCAGCAGCTGACGGTGGTACAGCAGCAATAGACGATGCTACAGCAGCAATAGACAATGTTACAGCAGCAGCAGACGATGCTACAGCAGCAGCAGCAGCTGACGGTGGTACAGCAGCAACAGACGACGCTACAGCAGCAACAGACGATGTTACAGCAGCAGCAGACGATGCTACAGCAGCAGCAGCAGCTGACAGTGCAGCAGCAGCAGCAGCTGACAGTGCAGCAGCAGCAGCAGCTGTACCACCAATAGTAGCGATGGTTGATTGGGGTTTATTATACAACCTGGCCAGCTCGGAGACACGCACTCCACTTTCATACTTATCAATGATCTTTTTCTTCATCTCTATTGTAATTCTCACCCTTATTGCTGTAGGGTTGGCACTAGAAGCTTTCTTGGGGCCCATGGTCACTTATTTTCCAGAAAAAGCACCGAAAACACTGTAATAATACGAAATATTCCGATTGTATGCTTGGATGTTACCGCGGAGGCTGGCTGGTAAACAATGCCACCAGCGGAACATGTGAGCGTGGCTCAGGCCGCACATTGGACGCGTCTCGGACGAAAATCGGTGAGCGGGTTTTTAAGCGGTATATGAGGCAAAATTTTGGCGATTAAAGCAAGCGGTATGCGGATTAATCGCTATGTGATGCCATCGGTATGCGGGGGTCCACTGTACTTGTAACATCTGCCACATTGCTCCCCTATTGACTCTATCATATGCCTTTTCTAAATCCATAAATGCAATAAAAACTTCCCTACCTTTATCTAAATACTGTTCACATATATGCTTCAATGTAAACACTTGATCTACACATCCCCTACCCACTCTAAAACCTCCTTGCTCATCCGCAATCCTACATTCTGTCTTACCTCTAATTCTTTCAATAATAACCCTACCGTACACTTTTCCTGGTATACTCAATAAACTTATTCCTCTATAATTTTTACAATCTCTTTTGTTCCCCTTCCCTTTATATAAAGGGACTATACATGCTCTCTGCCAATCCCTAGGTACCTTCCTCTCTTTCATACATTTATTAAACAAAAATACCAACCACTCCAACACTATATCCCCCCTTGCTTTTAGCATTTCTGTCATGATCCCATCAGTCCCTGCTGCTTTACCCCCTTTCATTCTATGTAATGCCTCACACACCTCCCCCACACTCACATCCTGCTCTTCTTCACTCCTAAAAGATGGCATACCTCACTGGCCAGTGCATGAAATTACCGCCTCCCTTTCCTATCTGTCACATTGCAGTCATGTAACACACTGTTAGTAGAGATGACTTTTTTCATTGCCTTTTATAAACCTCTTATTTGTAATTGATAACTGTGTCCTCTTGTTCTCCTTATTGTTAATTGCAAATCTTCTTTCCTTAATGGTTATTATATGTGGAATTTCAGTACTTATTTTAGGATAGCGAGTTGAAAATATAATTACTGTAATGAATCTTATGTATCAGTGGGCAGATGTATATAATAAGAGTTGTAAAGGAAGTGTTGGTGTTTAATGAATATGTTTATTAACAGGGTGGTGTGAGGGTGAAGACGGGTGAGGCAGGACTATTACACCTCCAGCAGATCAGACACTACCTTCACGCTGGAACACACTTACCATCTGTTCAGAAGAAAAATAAAAATGCCATACGAACATCTTCTAAAGAATTTACAATTGAAGGTATGCCTCTTAATACTGAGGAATTTTTTAAAAATTGCCATGATTCTCTCTCTCTCTTGTGTTTATATCAAAATATATTAGGATGAGACAGTTTTTAAAAAAATGGTTATATGAAGTTATCTAAGAGCTAATTCCTTCAAAGGGGGTTCTTGATGCTGTTGAAGGATTCTTGTTCCAAGCAATTTGAGTTACCCTCCCCTTATTTGGAACAAATCTGATTGCCTTCCATTTCCCAAGTGCTTGTTACTCTTCCCATTCTGACAGATCTTCCCAGACAATCACTCTTTGCACCCTTTTCCTAAGGTACTCCTTGATCCACCAGATAAAAAGTTGTCAAGAAACTATAGATACTGAATGCCTTTTTTGAGAAAAATTGCATATTTTTTACCATTATTTTTTACTGTACTGTATTAAACTTAGTACTGAATAATACTACTCATGTTCATAGTGTGGTGAGGCAGGCTTATTGACTGTGCCCAGATACAGTATCAAAATTATGTTTTAATTTGGCTTTAATGGTATTTTAGGCACAACAATGTACTACACTGGCAAAGACAGAACTGAGAAGAGAATAGTTCCACACTCAGAAACAGAAAGAGATGATGCCTTTCAAAAGTGCCACATACTGGAGTCTGGCCAACATTATGGTGAGCTCTGTGTAGTTTTTAAGGTACAATGGAACCTCTACTTGTGAGCGCATCCACGTGCGAGTTTTTCCAAATACGAGCAGTCGATGGGTTGATTTTTTACTTCCATACGCGAGTAAAATTTCCATAAGTGAGCAGACCTCAAGGGAGGTTCCTTGATGCTGGTGAGGGGCTCTTGCTCTTGATCTAGGGAATTGTATCTCATTTGTTTGTTGGACTATCTTATTGAAACTTGGGCAATGTATGATGGAAAGATACTTCTTAACGTACACCAAAATTGAAAGAAATCGGACCATAAATAACAGAGTTCACTTCTCAGCCATTAGCTGTCCCTTAGCGGTATATTTTTGTTTGGTTTTTATGGTTGTATTCTCATTTTTTGGTCTCATTTGATAGAATGGAAGATATATTACAGAAATAGATATGATTTTGATTACTTTCACGATGAAAAGTACCTTGAAATTGAGCTTGACTATGAAATTGACTATGTCCATTCCAATATGCAGTCGTGAATGGGTTGACATTATTTATACAATTATTGCAATAAGGCATAACAGTAAATCTTATATTTTTTGTGTGAATAAAAATTACGAATTATTTATATTGTAATAACAGTAATAATAATAATATGTATAATAATAATAGTATAATAATATATTACAATAATAATAATAATAATAATCTAATATGTATAATAATAATACGTATGTAATAATGTACTACATAATAATAATTATAATAATAGATGGCTTCAATAGGCCGTCACTAGATGGGAGTGTTTACCACAACAAAGAGGGAGTGGTTGTGGCTGTGTGAGGGAAAAGTTCAATAGATAGTAGCAATATAGTAACGATAGTTTCATTACCGGCTACTAGTTAAGGTAGGGTAAGTCACGCTCCCGCCTTTCTTCCCCCTTCCCGAAAGTGATAGTTTCATTGCCGGCTACTAGTTAAGGTAGGGCAAGTCACGCTCCCGTTTTTCCCGCCTTTTCTCCCCCACCCCTAAAGTGATAGTTTGATTGCCGGCTGCTTGTTAACGTAGGGTCAGTCTAGCTCCCGCTATCCCTTCCCCTCCCTCTTCCACCCCCCCCTCGAAAGGTGACGTGTGGGGCTCTGGTCAAACAGTAAATCACTCGACTCACAGCTCCCAACACTACTGTAAGTACATGCCTGCCTTGTATTCTAGTGGATTTATTGGTTAAAAGCTTCACTTTTGACCAATAATAAACTTAGTCCTTTCAGTCTTGCTCTGGGTTGACTGTTGTAATAATCACCACGTCTTTTGAATATTGTACACTGCTATGGAGAGTGATTATTTAAGCAGTGGGTAACCTGTCTATCTTTCCAGCTTGGATGTCAGAGAGGGTCACCTGGCAATCAACGAGCAGAACAGGAGAAGGACTAACGTCCAGAGACTTCTCCATTTTGTATTGAAGTACCTGTGCACCTGTATGAAATTGCAGGACATAACCCCACATCATTGCAGCGGTAAAGAACCTGCTTTCCTGTCATCGGGATATTATACTCACGGCAATAATCTGTGAAGATCTAGCCAGTGGTGGTCACCAACACCTGCGACCCCCCCCCCCCCCCATCATCAGCAACGGCTACGATTTCAACAACAGTGTCACCAACACCAGACACCCACGTTTTATATACATTTAAATTAGCGTTGAATTCAGTTATCATTTATATTTTTCATTTTTCATTTTCTTTAATGTAGGATTAATATTTCATATTTAAGTGTTTTACATTTTATATTTTCTATATAATAAAGTGTTTATGTTTGTCTGTTATTATTTCTTTTTCTATTCACTAATTTTCCTGAGGAGGAGCCAGCCTGAGTAATACTGACTGAAGTTGTTACAGGGCTGAGTAAGCCTTCACAGGCTGCCTCCACCTGTTACATAATGACATATTTTATTTATTCATTCTAGAGTATATATCAGGTTTCTGTGTTATTTATATTGTTTATTATTTCATATTAGATGAACTGTGACAGATAAATAAGCCGTAGAGTTGATGATAGCGAAATATTCAAGGAGTATTTTGTCCTGTCTCCAAACACTCGTCGCCACCACATATAAAATGACATATTTTATTAATTCTAGAGTATGTATCAGGTTTCTATGTTATTTATATTGTTTGTTATGTCATATTAGATGAACTCTGATAGATAAATAAGCCGTATAGATGATATTAGCAAAATTATTCAAGAAGTATTTTGTCCTGTCTCCAGACAAACTGTCGTCCACCGCCGACACCACCCATACCACTACATGAATTACATATTTTATTCATTTTATAGTATATATCAGGTTTCTATGTTATTTATATTGTTTATTATGTCATATTAAGTCAAGTGAGATAGATAGATAAGGCGTAAAGTTGATAGTAGCGAAATTATTGAAGTACAGAACTCCACTGGAACGGATTAATTGCATTTCAGTTAATTTTAATGAGAAAAATTGACTCTGCAAATGAGCAAATCCAGTTGTGAGCAGGGTCATGGAACGGATTAAACTCGCAAGTAGAGGTTCCACTGTAGTACTATACCTCAGGTCGAATTTAACATGTGAGTTAACATTTGGAGAACTTTATTTTCCTATTAGCAGCATTTTTCATATTTTTTGTCTGTAAATTTTGTTTATAAAATAGGTCATCCACTAAAGCAAGGTGACGAAACAGGAAACCATCACCACCATTTAGTAAAACTATGTCGTTGCTTATATATTTGTTTTTCTTTGTTTCAGTAATAATTGTTTCTGTACACAGCAGATACTCTTCTAACAAAAATATTCTATTTGTATTTTCATATACGAGTGTTTTATTTGTCTCAGACTTGGCCAATGTATTTTTTGTACAGTATATTAACCCGTAAACGGTCCAAGCAGATCTACGTTCACATGTGTAGTGCTCCAAAAGTAGATTACGTTTTTTTTACATATTTTCAAATATAAAAAAAAAAAAAAGTAGATCAGAGTTTTTTTGCACATTTTCAAATGTAAAAAAAACAAAAAGAAAATCTACTTTTTTTACATACTTTCAAATGTTGAAAAAATGTATATATACCTTTGGACCATTTACAGATTAAAGATCAGCTAGTAGCAGAAAAGTGTTTTTTATTTTAAGTACAATATTGATATTAAAATTAACAGTAACTCACAATTTGTGTAGAGTATTTAATATTTAATTATTAAATGATTAAATTTGGGTTTTTTGTAATGTCATAACTACACTTCCATAAAATTAATAAGAAACATATAATCATTATTTTCAGATCGAACTGAAACATTGCGAAGACTTGTACAGAAATATTACTGGACCGGCTTAAGTGAAGATGTCATTGCAAAGGTATCTAGCATAGGTGATTTTAAACTACAGTTGCATAATTTTTTTTTTTTTTTGTATCGTATGGAAAGTCTATTTTGTGTCTGGTAAGACATCTGGCTTGATAATTTTAATATTTTATCCTGTACAGCCCTGTTATAGGATAGTCTGTCACTGCTGACAGTTTAGTGAAGTTTTTAACCAATGTGAGTTATTTTAACTTGGTGTGAGAGGATTTATTTGATTTGTTAGTAATTTTTTATTTTTGTTATTTAGTTTTCCTCAGGGATCACTCAGTGTACTGAGTGATCCCTTAGTTGAAGATGCACTTCAGATCTCAAACTTCTTTCACAATCCTATTATAGACAACATTCTGGAGGTATTTCTTAGGTTTCATAAGATAATTTACTTTTCTCATACAGTTCTGACCTAGTAATACAGTACAATACTTAAAATGTATCAGCATTTCTACGTTTTCAGATTGAGGAGTGCAAAGTATGCCAAGTGAACAGACTTACGAGATGTGATCAAAGTTACGCAGAATCAGAAAATCCCGAGCGTATGGTAAATAAAAATGATTACTTTGACGTCCATTTTTTCTTTATGCTCATTTTTAATGAAATTGATTGAACATATTGAATTATTATTATTGTTTATATGCATTTACTTAGCAGTTGTGTATACTGTACATTTTTTATGGAAGGCCTGTTACCATTTCTTCATCATAATGCTAAATATTAAGGAATCTTTCTTTTTTGGGTCACCCTGCCTCGGTGGGAGACGGCCAACTTGTTGAAAAAAAAAAAAAAAAATTAAGGAATCTTATTGTTTAGGGATTTGTTAAAAAAAAATTGATGATTCAGTTTTTGGCTCCACTGAGTAGTAAATTTGTTGAATGACTTACAGTGGAACCTCAGTTTTCGTCATTAATTCGTTAAGGAAATCTGACAGAAACCGAATTTGACAAAAACTGAAGCAGTATTTCCCATAAGAAATAATGTAAGTCCAGTTAATCTGTTCTAGACACTCAAAAGTATTAACAAAATATACATTTTATAGAGAATAACTATAGTTTTACATACAGAAAAGAATGAAAAATAAATATAAAGGACTAATGAAATGGATAAATGAACATTTAATATCATTTTTACCTTTATTGAAGACCCTTGTTGGCATATGGAAGACGTGAGGAGGGGAGAGAAAGGAGGTGAGGTTATTGGTTGGAAGGGGAATCCCCCTCCATAAGGACTTCAGGTATCAAATCCCTATCTGGGGTTACTTCCCTTCTTTGTCTTTTACTGGCACTGGACCCCTGTCACACAAAAAATCTGTCCAGAGAGATCTGTTTCTGGCATCTCTTTAAGATTTGCCTAAAATGGGACAAGGCATTGTCATTCAGCATGTTGCAGACACAGCTTGCAACAACTTTGTTAGGGTGATATTTCTCCACAAAACTTTGCAACTCACTCTACTATGCACACATGTCCTTAATCACTGAAGAAGGCACATTCTTCCTTCTCTCTTCCTCCTCCTCTGAAGCAATTTCCTCAGCTGCAATCTGTTGCTGTTCCAGTTGAAGGTGTTGCAGCTCTTCAGTGGTTAGCTCTTCCCTGTTGTCATCCACCAACTCTTCCACATCCTGGCCACTCACATCCAACCCCATGGATTTCCCCAAAGCAAGTAGATTCTGCAACAGGCATAGGGTTGTCAGGGTCAGCCTCAAACCCTTTAAAATCCTTCTCTTCTTGAATTCTATCATGTTTCTCGCCTTCTTTATCAAAGGGCTGGCACTCGGAAGTTTCTTTGGCCCATGGTGGCTTATATAGCAATCGCAATACGTAAACAACCACAAAAAACAATGGATTATTACGAAATGTTTCGGATGAACACACAGGGTAATGCTTTGTGTGGGTGCGAGCAAGCAGACATGTTCGGTACGACAGACTGACGAAAACCAAGGTGATGAACGAAAACTGTGACAAAATTTTGACGAAAAAAGTAGTCAACCGAATTTGACGAAAACCAGGGCAAACGAAAACCGAGATTCCACATTATAAGGTATAATCTATCAGTAATCTGGGCCCTCATTTTTAAGAGGTGCAGGTTGTGGCTCAGATGTTCATAACATAGTAATGTTGATCCCTGTTCTAAGATGTGCAGGTAGTGGCACATTATCCACCTCATCATTATCAGTCATTACATGACATTATCACTGTGAAGGCTTACTCAGCCCTGTAACAACTTCAGACAGTATTACCAAGGCTGGCTCCTCCTCAGGAAAATTAATGAATAGAAAAAGAAATAATAATTCACAAAGATAAACACTCTATTATTTAGTAATGCAAAGATAAAACATTAAAAAATGAAGGTGTATCCTACTTGAAAGAAAAATGAAAAATGAAATGGAAAAATGACATTTGAATTCAATGCTAATATATACAGTGATACTGGGGTGTCTGGTGGAGGTTGACACCATCTTGTAGAAATTGTAGCCGTTGCTGATGTGGGGGGGATCACAGGTGTTTAGTGACAACCCAACGACTAGTTCTTCACAGAGTCTATAGCCTTGAATAATCAGTCCAGATGACAGGAACGCAAGTTCTTTACCACTGCAAAGATGAGGGGTAGTGTCCTGTACAATTAATCAGGTGGGTAGATCATGAAGTGACGTCCCAAGACCGGTTTCAGTCCGTCTCTTTCAACACTTCTCTTTGGTTGGCAGGTGACCTGAGCTCTCATTCCAAGCTGGAAAGAGAGACAGGTTACCCACTGCTTAAGAAATCACTCTCTATGATAAGTGTAAGATACTTAAAAAAGGTGGTGATTATCTAAAAGTCTCATGTGGAGCTTAAAACTGAAAGGACTAAGTTTATTATTGGTCAAAAGTGAAGCTTTCAACCAATATCCACTAGAATAGGAGCAGAGGCTTTTACTTACAGTTGTGCTCGGAGCTGTGAGTTGAGTGATTACTGTTTGGCCGGAGCCCCACACATCACCTTTCGGGGTGGGGAGAAAGGGGGGAGAGGGGATAGCAGGAGCTAGACTGACCCTACCTTAACAAGCAGCCGGCAATCAAACTATTGTTATCGTTACCATATACTCGCTCGCTACTCCTATCTGTTGAACTTTTCCCTCACAATCACTATTGGTCATTATTACCAATTATCAGCTTTGTCATTATTGCCAACATAATCATCCCATTTTCGACCTGCACGAGGTAATGCAAGTGAAATACACTTATGAAATAAATTTTGTAATTACCAGTGTTATGTTTCAGGCAGAGAATATGCAGTTGGTGACAAATGAGAGCATGGTCTTGACCAGCTCAACCTTGTTGCCTGAAGGTCGAGCAGGAATACTCAAGAATGACACTGAGACTGTGGAAATAGTGATACAGGAACTAGAGTCTCATCAGGACCTTTCAGGTGGAAGTTATCCTGCTGAAGGCCATCAGCAAGTAAGCTCAAGTTCCCAAGTTTACTTTTCTCTATGCTGGGTAGATTTATACAGTCAATTAAGTGAAGTTTCTCATGCTTATTGGGCTGATTTTAACCCTTTCAGGGTTTCGGCCGTACTAGTACAGCTTACGCACCAGGGTTTTTGACGTACTAGTGCGCCTAAATTCTAGCGCCCTCAAATCTAGTGAGAGAAAGGTGGTAGGCCTACATATGAAAGAATGGGTCTATGTGGTCAGTGTGCGCAGTATAAAAAAAATCCGGCAGCACACAGTGCGTAATGAGAAAAAAAAACTTTGACTGTGTTTTTGGATTACAACAGCGACTTTGCACTGTATTTTCGTATGGTATTTATTGTTGTATTCTAGTTTTCCTGGTCTCATTCTATAGAATGGAAGACATATTACATAAATTGAGATGATTTTTGACTGATTTTACAATGAAAAGTACCTTGAAATTTAGCTCAAAGTAGCAGAAATGTTCAATTTTTACCGAAGTTCAAAAGTAAACAAATCATGCTAAGCATCCAATACACGTCAACTGGTGAGTCTAATATTCTTTCACAAGTGCGCCAATATTATTTATACCATTTTTTACACTAATGCAGTAGTCTGCATAACAGTAAATCTTCTATTTTTTGTGAGAATAAAAATTCAAAGTGGAAAGCAGACGAATGTAAGAGGGGCGTTGGGACGTGATTAATGAACAGAGGAAATGTCATTTTAGTGCCAGGAATGTCTTTCTTGTTTATTCTGGACCCTATTTGGAAATTGGCATCTTTTGAAATTTGTGTGAAATTGGCAAAATTGCTAAATTCTGACCACTGTATGGGATAGTTGAAATTGGTAAATGGGTGGTTTCTTGCACTCATTCGATAGAGAAAATGGAGTTCTAGTGAAATAGTTATGATTTTTGTCGACTAGTACATTGAAATTGGCCAAAAAATAGGGCTCAAAGTGGGCAAAATTGCCGATGCATAAACATCATCGAGACCGCTAACTTCACAAGAGCATAATTCCGTAAGTTTTCCATCAAATTTCATACTTTTGGTGTCATTATGATTGGGAAAAGATTCTCTATCTTTTCTTAAGAAAAAAAAATTTTTTGTTTTTTTTTGAAATTTGGGCGACCCTGAGAACAAGTCTTTGAGAGGGCCTGTCGACCCTGAAAGGGTTAAAAAGCCTATTATTATTTTTCTGCATATTAAAAGAACTTATCTCTCCTTATTCTTTTTGATGATTATAGAGAAAAAAAAAGAGGTAATTAGCCTTTTGTTTTTGTAAAAAAGAAACATACTGGAATAAAAATTATGAAATGCAAAGGAAGATGAAGATAAGTGTGTCCTAAATGTAACGAGAAGTGTTTAAGATTTACCTGTTTTTGTATATTCATGAAATTGAAAAAAAAAAATGCAAGATATTTAATAGGATCAAAAAACTTTGAATTTACAAGCTAAGAGCTGTTAACTTACCTGAGCTCATGTTGAAGTCTTAGCTGATTATTATTATTATAATTAAGGGGGAAGCGCTAAACCCGGAGGATTATACAGCGCCTGGGGGGGGGGGGATGTGGAAGGCATTCAGGCTTAATTCGGGGAACAGGAGCACAGATCCAATTCCCTAAATCAAGAGCCCCTCACCAACATCAAGGAACCTTCCTTGAGGGAAGTCTTAGCTGAGATATACTATACCCCTGTTTTTCTTCTGCGTCCTTCATATAACAGGAGGGTATTAGTGCTTTTATTAGTTAGTGTTTATTAACCTACTACGACACTTTTTTATTGACAGGAGGGTATTAGTGCTTTTGTTGGTTAGTGTTTATTAACCTACTACGACACTTTTTTATCTGATATTTTTATTAAAGTTTTATCCTGAGTATATTTCTTTCATTTGCTGTTTGCTTAAAAATCCTCACACTTTACTTTGCATGAAGTCAAACATTAATGATTTTTGCAATTACAGAATAATTCATACAATAGATTTTACCTTATGCAAGTGTCACATTAAGCCTTAAGAGAGTGCAGAGAAACCAGATTATACCTCTTATTAAGGAGCATTAAGGGATTGTATAAAATCATAGGCTCTAATGGTGTACACTGCAGACTTCTACATTTTTTCTTCCAAGATTCTTGTTTATAACCTTAAAACTGATCCGATCAGCTTCAAATGTTCATTGCTGATATACTGTACCTACTGTTTATACAACTATTGGCATGTGTAGGTACTCATTTCAGTTTTATAAGTACACTATTCCTGATTTTGGTTTCCGAGCAGTAATTAGCAACTGTGTCTTCTCATTGGCTTTAAACTTTTAAAGCTAGTGTATTGTACATAGCAGAAAGTTTGGATTGGTGTGGGGCTATGTAGATAACAATATGCTTTTTCTTTTATTGAAAAATTTAGGCTAGTTTCCTTGAGATACATTTTGAATGCATTCTCCTTCAAATCCTCTACCCTGATATTTACTACACTAAACACTTATACTGCACTGTGGTATTCCTTTTTCCCTGCATTGAAGTACAAGGACCTGGGCTTATGGGGTATGGAATACCTTTCATGGATGGTGCAGTAACCAGAACAAGTCTAGTTGATCCGAGGAACCATTGTGTAACAATGATCATAATTTAATATGCTACAATATTTCTCAGGTTGATGAGTGTTTTCCTGTATTTCAGATTCATCAGACCACGTTTGGTAATACCCATAAGCTGGATGGCGGAGGCCATCTGGTAGTTATAGTAGTTGATACATTAGATTAGTAAATTAGACTGCAGGAACAGAAGTGTAGAAACCTACGTTAAAGATTAAAGAGGTTGTAAAAATAGGATACTGTATATTCAATATTTGCATAGCAAAATATGTCAAGAAGCAAATTGATTTTTCAATTATCAATTTTATATATAAAAATAAAAGTTTTGTAATACTATAGTTATTAAATTTTCAGATTTTTTAAAATAAATGTTATATATTATTATTATTATTATAATCAAAAAGAAGCGCTAAGCCACAAGGACTATACAGCGCTGCAGGGCAGGAAGGAAGCGAGGGCATCAGGTGGCAAAAGGGAGATGGATGAGTAATAGGTTACGGATAACAGCGGGGTAGTGGATGGTGAAAGGGTAAAGGGCAGCAAGAGACTGAACTAGAAAGGGCTGAGGGGAGAGCGAAAAGTATCATCAGAGTTTGGGAGTAAATCAGTCGTTGTCAAGAAGTCAAGGGAGAGAGTCAGGATTAAAGGGGGTCCATCAGGAAAAGGGAGGTAAAGAGAGAGTAGTAAAAACGAAGACGACGTTGGAGGTAAATTCTGCGTGCTCGTTGATGAGAGGGCAGTCCAACAGAATGTGGCTAATTGATACGGGAAAAACTTGACACTGCTCACAGAGAGGAACAGGGTGCCTCTCCATGAAATACCCATGAGTAAGACGAGTGTGGCCAATGCCGAAGGCGGGAGAGAGTGGTCTCCCAACCTCGGCACTGATGACAAGAAGACGGCCAGTAATCTATGCTCGGTTAATAGAATGAAGTTTTGTTACCGGCAGAGTTGACCAACGTTGTTGCCAACGTGTGCAAAGGGTGGGTAGCTTTTGCAGCAAAATAGCCCAGAAATGGAACACCTCGATGGAAATTGGTAGGTCATGTACTGCTGACCGCACAGCAGTGTCTGCCTGTTCATTGCCCTGAAACGTCGACATGACCAGGGACCCAAAAAAAAACAATATTTTTAAATGTTTGGTAGAGATACGGCGTACCCAAAGTTGGATACGGAGAACTAGGGGATGAGATGTATCAAATTTTTTCGTATAGCCTGTAGAGCACAAAGGGGAGTCTGAGACTACTACAAATGATGACACGGGCATAGATGCGATACGAATAAGTGCGCAAGAATGGCATACAGTTCAGCAGTAAAAATGCTAGCTGAAGATAGTAAATGCCCCCGTACACCTGCCCGGGAAACACTGCTGCGAATCCGACGCCGTCTGAAGACTTAGAGCCATCTGTGTACACAGCGGTGGCATGAGAAGGGGAGTGGAAGTGATCAAGAAAAAAGAGACGGGAAGCCACCGTAGGCAGTTGAGCTTTCGAGCAAGGGAGTGAGAAAGAACAGACCCGAACAGCTGGAACTTCCCAGGGGGTAGGGAAAAGTGAGATGCTACATGAACATATAAAGGTGGTAACTGAAGGGAAGACAAGAGTGAATGTAGGCGAAGAGAAAGGGACGGAGCAAACAGGGGCGGCGAACGAATAAAGAATGTCTACTATATCGGTGACCATTCTATAAATGGAAGGTTTGGGTGTAGATCGTGAGAGCGTACATAGTAACGAAGGCAATGGGCATCACGGCAAATCAGACAAGGATGGAACATTTGCTTTTTTATAGAGGCTCTCAACAGGGGAAGAGCGAAAAAGCACCAAGGGCACAAACGTAAGCCTTGGTGATGGATAGATTTTAAGGCTAGAGAGAGTAGCAGGAGAGGCCGCGGAATAAATCTGGTCACCATAATCGAGTTTCGATAAAACGGGGGCTGAATGTAGGCGAACAGAGTGTGACGATCAGCCCCCAGGAAAGATAGCAAGGGTTTTAAGAAGGTTTAGCCGGCTGTGACAAGTTGCCTTCAGAGAGGTAATGTGAGGTTTCCAGGTTAACCGACGGTCAAAGAGAAGGCCTAGAAACCTGACTGATCACGTTCGGGGATACGGGAGCCATAGAGATACAAAGGATGATCGGAGATAACAGAGCGTCTAGTGAAAGTAATTTGGTGAGTTTTGGTACTTGAAAATTTAAACCCATGTGTGGTGGCCCAAGGGGAAAAACACGGTCGACCGCATGCTGGAGAGAAACTGCAATAAGGTGACAGTCGAGCGCCTGCACAAGCAATAGCGAAGTCATCAACATAGAGTGATGACCAAATATTGGGTGTGAAGAACAGAGGGCCAAATCATTTATAGCAAGGAGAAAAAGTGTTGTGCTGAGAACACATCCCTGAGGGACACCTTCAGCTTGGACGAAGTCCGGGAAAGAACATTATTGACTCGAACACGGAAATGTCTGTCAGTTAAAAAGTTCTTAAGGAAGGATGGTAGATTGCCTCGGAGGCCTAAGGAATGGGCCTGGGCCAAAATATTATACCTCCAAGTTGTGTCATATGCCTTCTCAAGGTAAAAAAAATATGCAATAACTGAGTGATTATTCGCAAAGCATTACGAACATACGTATCCAAGCGAGTTAGGGGTCTATGGTAGAGCGACCCTTACGAAAGCCATATTGACTAGCGGAGAGACTGTTGTGAGTCTCTAAATACATACCACATTAAACGTCGATTTACGAGGCGTTCCATCACTTTGCAAACTGCACTAGTAAGAGCGATGGGGCGATAGTGGGAGGCATCATGTCCTGTAGTACCCGGTTTGCGGAAAGGGAGAACAATGGCAGATTTCCACAGCTGGGGAAGAACTCCTTGTGCCCAAATAAGATTGAAGAGGTATAAGAGGACTACAAGGGCTGACCGATGTAAATGTTGTAACATACGAATATGAATGTCATCAGGCCCAGCTGCCGATGATCGGCAAGCGAGAGCGTTGCCTCCAGTTCTTGAAGTGTAAAAGGCACATTATACTGTTCTTCTCCGAGAGAAGAAAAGTCCAAGGGTACAAAACTCTCTGGCAGACTTTGAGGAAAGAAATAGGGGCATAGATGGAGCCCTCGGGAAATACGACCAGATGTGTGCCAAGTTCAATGGCAACGTCGAGAGGGTTTGCTATTTTCAACACCAGAGACCCGTAGAACAGGGCGGATCGGGAGAGTATTTACCACTCAATTTCCTCACTTTTTCCAACTGCACTCATAGAAGAAGCAGGGGTGATGGTGGAAACATAGTCTCGCCAACAAGTGCGTTTAGCTTCACGGATGACACGGCGAGCGATCGCACGCTTCTGCTTAAAATCAACAAGTCTCTCAGCGGGTTCTATTGTACCGGTACCTGCCCCTTTGCAGCACCCTTTTTCAAACGTACTGCACGAGCACAAGCAGGAGACCCCCAAAGGCACGCACTTCTGAGAATGCCTGCCGAGGTTTGGGGTATAGAATGAGAAAGCGCGGTATAAATTTGATGTCGAGAAGATGTGTGGGAGCTCATCAATGGAGGATGAAAAAGGAACCTCACTAAAAGCAGTGAGGTGTGAGTAAAGAATCCCAATTTGCCCGATCAAATTGCCAGCGAGGGCTACGGAAAGGTGGTGAATAGGAAGGAGAAGTAAGAATGTCGGAAAATGATCGCTGTCATGTAAGTCTGGTAGAACAGACCGGTGAAGTCTAGTGCAGTGGAGGAAGAGCAGACTGATAGATCGATGCAAGAGAGAGTATGAGTACGAGGATCAAAATGGGTGGGAGTACCCGTATTTAAAACATGGAGGGGGTGAGAGGCAAGAAAAGCCTCCAACTGAATGCCAAAGTGAGTCACAATGAGACCCCCCCCAGAGGAAATGGTTGGGGATTAAAATCACCAAGTAAAAAGAAGTGGTGGTGGTAAGGATGAAACAAGAAAGGCAAAGTCTGGATAGAAAATGCTCGAGAAGGAGAGAGATATAAAGAACATATTGTAAACCACTTATTCAAGTGGATACGGGCTGCAGTTAATGCATCGAGGTATGGACAAATAGTTGACAGTACGGAATATCATTGCGTAGAAGAAGGGCACTTTCATTAAAGGTCCCATCTGAGAAAGGATCCGAAGAATACAATAAATTATAGCCTGAGATAGGTTGGAAAACAGCCGAGTGTAATTTTGGTTCTTGTAAGCAAGCACCAACAGGGGAAAACCTGGAAAGCAACATCTGAAGCTCACCCCGATTACCCCTGAGGCCGCGGATATTCCACTGTAAATAGGCCATGATTGGCGATGAAGAAAATATCAGGAATCTGTAGGTAAAGGCACCTACGGACTAGAGGGGTTAGAAAAGTCAACGTGTGGTGGCATTGATGTCCCGCGACATATACAGAGGACGGGAGTTCTCGGCTGTCAAAAGTTAAACGAGCCACATTGCAAGGGTAACGTCTCCGCCCCCGGGCAGGAAGGACATAAGTGTCTACTTTGAGGATTGGGAGATCCTGGAGTTCCAGCTGTTCAAAAATGTCATTGCCACATGACTGGAAATTCTGTTGGACTACGGTATGGGGCAGAATGACAGTACCACTACAAGAATTGAGAGAAAGATGTTTTTCAATAGTGATAGGAGTAGTATCGATATTCGAAAGGAGAGAAAGATCATGAGCTTGGGTAGCATTCTGGACAGTGACGATGCGCGTACCGCTCTTGGAGAGCGTGAAATGAAATATCTCTGCCAACATGACGCAGGAGCGCTTTGGCAATACTATGGTCAGAAAGGTAGGCAGAAGAAGAAGTTGGTCTTAAAAATAAAGAATTTAGTCCATTGTTGGTCCCCAAACTGAGCGTGGAGAGGGAGTGCTTGACGTGTCGGTCTTTTCCGAGTAGAATGGGAAGGTAACGAAGAAGCATCATAGGAGATTGACGTTGGCGTTTAGGAGTAGGACCGGAGTTGGTCCGGCAAAGAAATGGGTGGGCGATTCGAAAATTGCCGTACCGTAGAGGGAGAAGCCGGAAGCATAGTCAAAGGAGAGCGGAGTTTCAGACAAAACGAAGGAGTCAGTCGAAGCCCCGTACCTGAAGCGGGTGAGGAAACAGCACCAGCAAGAGGGACAGGGGCATCAGGAGTGTCCGAAGAGTGGTCTAAACACAAGGCAGGGTCAGAATGGGTGCGGTATCAAGAAGGGGCCCGGGGGTAGTGGTTTCATGGCTAGGGCTGCCATGGTTAGGTTACTCCTTTGCTTTTTGTTTTTAAGAAAAAAAAAGAAAGAAGAAAAGAAAATAAAAATAAAAAAAGAATAAAAAAAGGGGGGGCGGGGAGGAATAGTTCCCCGGAGGAATGAAAGGGCCGGAAATCTCCCTCCGCGCCCAAGAGGACTCGAACAACCGCTAGTAGCGCAGATGCAGCATGGAACCCGTGCCATAAACCCCACCCTTCATGCCAGTAAACCAGCAATCCGGGATAGCAACCTCACATCTGCCGACTACCTCTGTGGACAAAAGAGAGGGCGGCCGGATATCCGCCAAAGCATACCTCCTTCAGCAACCACCCCCGGAATCCGAAGGTGGCTTTCAGAA